CCCGGGCCGACTGGGCGCCGCGTGTCAGCAGACACGCGGAAGGCAGGCTCAGGCTTTTCCGGCCCTGGACAGCCTGCTGACCCCTCCCAAACCCAGGAAGCGAAGCGCCCCGACGCCTGGCAGAGGAAACCACGGGCTACGGCCACGGGCGGCGTGGCACACCGATCCCTCCGCGGTGTGAGTGGCTGGGCCACACCCAGGGCCCCCCAGCGGCCCGCGGGGTAGGAACGCCTGAGGGGATGGGACGCGGCTGACACGGGGGGAGGGGGACGACAGGGAGGGGCCTGCTCACTTTGCCCTTGTGGGTCTCCTGCAGCCACTGGCGAAGGCGGATCAGGCAGCTCTCCTGCAGCGGAGTCAAGTCCCCCAGGTAGCGCTTGATGTAGTCTGCATCCAGTTTGTCTGGAACACAGGCCGCACGGCGTCACCACGGCAGCACTGCCAGCGGCGGCCCCGAAGCCCCTCGGCTCAGGGAGGTGGCCGGGGCACAGCCCCCCGGGCCCGGGGCCGATTCCTGCAGTCCCTGGTTACGCCAGGCCCCTCCGTTTGCCGGTGGCCTCGCCTGCACCCTCAGCACCATCAGCACGAGGGCAGCGACGCCACCTGACACTTCTCAGTCAGTTATGAGGTGCGTCGCGGGACACAGAACCACGACAGAGGCAGGCGCCCCCCCAGGCCCGTGCTGGCCGGCACTGAGACCTTCAAGGCGCAAGCGTCCTCTGCCCCGTAAGGCAACAAAATGGGAAACGGGAAACTGCAAAGGCCCAACAAAGTAAAAAGTGAAACGTCTCCCGCCTGCCGGCGCAGACGGGAGGCCACGGCCCTTCACGAAACATGGGGGCCTCGCCGGCTTCTCGCTCGTGGTGGTGGGCAGCGCTCAGCGGGGTGAGAGAGCGTGTGTGCGGGGGGCGCGGGCGGGCCCTGGCGTCACCCCGGGCCCAGGCCGCAGGGCCGCGAGCGGGTCACGTGCCAGACGGGACGAGGTGCCCGCGGGGGCGGCGGCACGGCCAGGGACAGCTCGCCATCACCCTCGCTGCCCCACTGTAACACACAAAAGTCTAAGTTTTCTTCATTCTAAGGAAAATGCACGGCACGCATCCAGGGTCAGCAGGGCAGGCGGAGGCCAGGGGACAGCACGGAAGCGCCGCTCAGACCCACCGTCAGGGGCCCCCGCCGCGGGCTCGGGCCCCCCGCTGGGGCTGCTGAGGGCCTCGCTGGTCAGCCCCTCCTTCTGGGCGGCATCCGGGGTGGCGGCGGCTGAGGCCACGGCCAGCTGGGCGCTGCAGGCGGGCGTCTCGGCGGAGGGCATGGCGGGAGGCGGGGCCCACCGGGGCACAAAGGTCACGCCCTCCTCTTCCAGCTGCCGCAGGTAATACTCAATTATTTCTTTGCCCTTTAAGACAAACCAACCTCAAGGTGAGCACACGGTCAGCGTCCAGTCACCCACGCCTCCCGCTTCTCAGAGCACTAACACAAGCAGTCTCGCTACAGAACAAAGAGGAACCGAATAAAGGCCTCTGACCTTGCATCTCGCGGTTATCGCCTCTCCCCCCCAGAGCCGGGAGCACCAGCCGCCTCGTGAGACGGCTGCTAACAGTGCTCCCCACCACCTGCGCGCTCGGACCGGGCTGCCGTCCCCGTCCAAGCCCTGCGATGCCCTGGGAAGTGGGGCGCGGGAGGGGGCCCGAGAGGCCAGCGGGCCTGAGAGGCCACTGCCCGAGGGAGCGAGCCCGCCCTGGGCTGGGCGCCAAGGTCGCACCAGTGGCCCTACGGGGCGCCACTCCGAGCCCAGCGGGCGTCAGCTGGGGCGCCTCACCCCCCCAGGGCCGGCCGGCAGCCGGCCAGCACACCGCAGGCCTGGCGGGCGGCGCCCGACCGCCACCGCCGAGCCACGGGACTCACCTTCTTGATGTTGCTGGTGTACTGCTTCATTGCGATTTTCTCTACTGTACTTTCAAATCCAAAGAAGGACTTAATATCTAAGCTTGCAGACTGCTCAAAGCAGGTCCAGTCTTCATTTTCAGGGTGGACCTGCAGAGGAGAGAACACCCGGGCGGTCACGCTGCCGGCCGGGAGAGAGCCCAGCAGCGAGGCTGTCAGCGGTGACCCCAAGGAGGCGGGAGTGCCCCCGGGGCTGGGCAGCTCTGATGCGGTCACGCCAGGCCCCGACAAGGCCCGGACTGGCCTGCACGGACTGAGCGGAGGCTCGATTCCACTCGGGCCCCCGTTACTCCCAGAGGCGCCCGGCAGGAACTGCGCCCTGCCTGGGAAGGCGGTCTGGGGGGGCTGGGCTCGGGCGCTGCGGAGGGGAGGGGCGCGGCTGGGGCAGGCTGCAGAGCAGCCGGGCAGAGGGGTAAGTCCGCAGAGGGGCGGCCAGGCAGAGGAACACCGGGAGCAGGCCGCCGTGGGCGCCCGGGCAGAGGCCCCGGGCGGGCTGGGGAGGGGCGCGGCTGGGGCCGCCGAGGCTCCGGCACATTCCAGCGTGAGACCAGCGTGAGCTGCAGGAGCCCTGACCCTCGGGCCCGTGGCCAAGAGGACAACGTCCACGGCAAGGACCGAGGTGGGGTGTCCACGTCGTCCTCTGGAAAGCAGCCCAGGGCAGCCAGCAGGGGCAAACCCCGAAAGAACCTGACCCAAGCACTCCGGTTCGCACCGGGGCGTGTGCAGGGATGGGGTGTTGGGGCCTCCAGGGCCCCAGCGGAGAGGGCAAGGCAGGCATTAGCACGGAAAGACCCCAAACCCAGGGCACTGGGCAAAGAGGGGTCACTGGGGGAGCACCTCCTGAGGGACAGCCTGCCCCCGCTTTCTCCCCACGCTGCCATCACCCCCATGCTGCCAGCCTCCCGAGCGGCCCAGCGTGGCTGGGGTGCCCAGAGGCACCCAGGGGCAGCCCGGGGCACGCCGCCTCCGGGGCCCCAGAAAGGCCCAGTGGCTGCCCACAAGCAGGCAGTGGCCGCGGGGGGCCTATCGGGGCGCCTGGATGGGGGTGCCGCCCCCCCTGCCCAGGTCCTGCATCCCCACAGCACCCTGCACGTCAGCCCAGGCGCTGGCCTCCTGCTGGGACACTGTGGAACCCCGCACACCCCCTTGGGGTCACCTGGGGGGCCCTGGCCTCACGCTGCACCGCCCTGCGCGGCCCCTCCCCCGCAGCCAGGCCCCCTCTGCCGTCCAGCAGCCCGCAGCCCAGCCGGGAGGCCTCACTGGACTGGCCCGGCGTCGGGCAGACAGTGACCACTCCCGGCCTCGCCACGGAGCAGCCCGGCCGTGTCCCCATAAAACCTGACGCACAGGCACGTCCCTGGGCCCCTGGCTGGCTGGGGGCGCCCCCAGCGCCCCTGAGGCGGGGGCAGCACCGGCCTGGCGGGGAGCAGGTCCTCGGCCGGCGCCGGTCTG